AAAAAAAAAAAAAAAATCCTTGTAAATGGGATTTAAGGACTACCTTAAGTTGGGAGGGGAAAAAAAGGAGACTTGAAAAGGCATGTATCCACCAACTACCTGCATTACATGTTTTAGTGTGACTAAAAGTCTATCAAGTGGGATATGGTAAGCACAGGTCATGCTGTATTTTCCGGGGCAGTTTGCAGACAGTCCTTTTCTCTGGGTGTGCTCGTATTGGGTAGGAGCAGGTTGGTGTGAGCTTCTGGGCTGGCTCTGTCAGGTGGTCTTTGTCCTTTCTGCACTGTAGAGCAGAATGTGGGGACATCACACTTTAACTTTGCAGGCGACTAAATCCAAGAAGATGAGAGGTGAAGCCTCTTTGGAGGCTGCATAAGACAGTTTGCAAATTAATTTTGTGCTCAGCTGGTCCTTCATAAAGCATATGAACTTTAAGTGCCTTAAATAAAGATCTTTTTTTGGTTTGTTTGTTTTTTGGTGACAGGAAATAGGCACATTATCACACCATTACTATTCAGGGGCTGGTATGAATTGAGTGACTTTTCCTTGTGCTTATTTTCCAGTAAGCACTAGTATTCTCTTGGCTTTCTTTCCCCAAGCAGGCCTGGCAAATTCCGGTGATGTCAGGTCACCAACAACTTCTTGGCAAACTCAGGTGTTTCTCTTCTGTGGCAAGAAGAGCCCAGGTTATCTCAGAGCTTTGGGCATGTGTCCAATAATCACTTGGAGCTGACTCAGTCTGGATCATTAGACAAAGATATGTCTGTTTGACAGAATGATAACGGGAGCCATAATAGGAATCAACATGGTCCCCAAAGTTGAATCCTCATTTAGCTTAGCAGAAGGCTGGGCTTTGTGGTGTAGCAGCAACAGCTGCTGAGCCTTGATTATTTAGGAATAAGGGCGAGATCATGAATAAATACTGGCATTGCCCCAGTGTTTGTGTTTGTCAAATACCAAAAAATAAAATAGGAATCCTAAATTGGCTTGCATGCTGCCACCTGGCTTTCCTACCACTTTCATTTCTAGCATGAATTCAAGAGGAGAGGAGCTTGGGCAGAGGTTATAACCTGGGAGGAACCTGGCAGATATCAGTGAGTACAGGCAGGACTTAGGGCTATGCAGAGGTGGGGTTCACTGATACTTAGGCTGTTGACTCAAAGTAATAGTGAGCAATAGTGATCTCAGATCAGTGAGCAA